CAATCTTGGACACTTGGACAATTTTGGACATGGACAAGTCAAAAAAGGCTTTGGACAGCCAAAATGTACAACACTGGGGTCGATGATTTGAATACGACTGAATTTGAATTTGAGTTATATAAGATAGAATAATATGTATCAAGAATCCTATACTCAGATAATTTCAAAGTAATATTATAATTTATTTTTTATAATAACTATCGCAGATCATAATAAAATAAGGTTAAAATGAAATTAGGCTCTTTTTACGTCTCTAAGTCCATACTATTTTTATTATAATATTATTCTAAAACCTGACCAAACCCTAAAACAGACAAATTTTATCGTGGTATATAAATTTCAAATTAATATAGGAAAAATTTTTCATTTTAATCTGATTTCATTTCAATCCGTCACAATAAATATTTAATGATAACAATAACAGCTTAACTAATAACTTTATCTAAACTTTTAACTTCTAACTTAAATCCATGAGTATTAAATCCTTCTTGTACATCCTATTATAAAAAGTATTAATAAAATGTTAATAATTTGTGTTATTTGTTTGGCCAAAGAAAAAAATTGTCTCTTTATAACTAAACAGGATCAAATAAACAATATAGAATAGTTACCTTAACTTTACCAGGAGTTGAAATAACAACAACATTTGAAGTTTCAGGCATAAATAATTTCGTTATATATTTCGTTAACATAACGTGAAGATCTTCAAATTTCACAGCCTGAATTTTAAATTGAAGCAGCAGAAAAAGATTAAGAGTAAATATAGTCGATATAAAATAAAATTTTATTTACGTATATGTATATCATATATTTATTAAATAATAAAAGAAAGGGTAATACGCGTACCTGAACCTTTGAAATTAATTTTTTATTAAAACCAGAATCCAAATTATTTAAAACTTGTGAAACAAATGATTCTGTAGCCTTCATATTTATAATAGTATTAAAGAATGCAAGATTGATAATAATTTATTAATTAGTAGATTAATCAATATTATAATCATAATCGAAGCATTAATTTAAATTTTTATGTACCGCTTTTTGAATATTTTCCTGTGTTTTGACATTTCCAAATTGTAAATTAAATAGTTAGTCTAAAAAAAAAAAAAACTGGTAATGACGAAAATAAAAATGATTAAATTTTTATTACCTCTTTGCTGACAAGACCATAAATGACACCACTTTTTGCACCTTCTAATTCAGACTTATCAAATTCAACCTATATATAGTTCAAATATTAATTAATAGAATAATCCATAAATATTATACAAAACGGTACCAAAACATCCATTTAGAAAAAAAATAAGAAAGAGAACCTTTTTAGAAGCCAAATCATTTACAATTTTCCTAGCTTGATCATAAACTTTATATGCATCAGGTGACCTGTATGTGGCAAAAGAAATATGACCTTAAAAATGATAAATTATAAATAATCAAATAAATAATTTGTTGAAAATAGGTGCAGCAATTAAATTTATAAAGATGACAAACCTGATTCCACACTAACTTTAAGCCAAACACTATAAGCTAATCCCTGGCCACGAATCGCTTTCCAGAATACACCCTCCATTGTGTGTAAAAGCTCACATAGTACAAGTAATGGTGCAAGGTCTGGCGAATCAAAAGTAGTTGGACCTTAAATTTATAAAATAGAAAATTATAAGCAAAAGAATTTTTCAGTCGACGTCAACTTAATAATAAATGTTAGACCACCTTTCGCTGTATGAATAGCAAAAGTATTTTCTATAGCAGGAAGCTTAACAATGTATCCCTAATGTAAATTCAGAAGTATTAACGTAATGTCAATTTGACTTTTAGTGCAAATAAGAATGCAAATATGATATAAGGAAACGTGCCTTGTTACCGGGATTACGTCCCGATTCAGTCAAGACATTTTGTGGTAAGGGAATTGGTAATAAAGGTTTTGTATCCTAAAAGAGTACATAAACATATAACAATATACAAGACATGAAATATGGTGTTAAAAATTAATATGTTTGGTTAAAGTGTATGATCTACTTACCGAGATATTCTTAAAATTCTCTGCCCATGCACTTTTAGGATTTGGCAATTTCACAATATCTCCACTCACATGAATTCTGAAATTTTCTGGGGAAATCACTATATAAATAATGGAAATAAAATGATTGAGTTTATAAATATTTAATAAGAATAGAAACTCAAACAACATAATACATACAAATCTCTTTAAGCTTTGCAAACATTTCAATAGCTTTACTTGGATTTTCTTCTAATAATTTAATAGTTTCGGGTAAAACCTTTTCTTGGTTCAAAACGCCTAAAACATACTTATTTGAACGTAAGCGATCATAATGGATTGTCTGTAGTACATTTAGTGCCATCTTTTATTTTTATTTCATTTTTAAATGATTGATAGAAATTTATGTTAAAATTCAACAGTTGTAAGTAGTATTTGGCGCAAAAAATATCATAAACTTACTTCATATCCCTCGCGCTTAGTTTGCGGAATATCATTTAGTATTTTTGAAGCACAAATTTTAAGCCTGAAAAATGGCACATATATATTAGTAATTAGCAAATAATTACCGTAGAAAGCATTTTTTAAAATCACCTTTCGGCAGTAAATTCCGTATTCCACAATAAATCACGTAACCATTGAATTCCAGTTGCATATTTAGAAGCCTAGCAGTTAATTTCCAACCAAATAAATGATCTGTTAAGAGGAAACTCATAATCTACGAACACTTGAAAAGGTTCAGATATTATTAACAAATTTTTTGACCTACTTCAACTTTGAGAGAAAAACAAATCATTCCTTCAAATCCTTTAATTCCCCAATTATCTTCATAGCTAATGGTGTCTGTGTTCAATTCATTAACCATTTGTTCAAATGTCAAATGTTCACCATTGGGCCTATTCAACGGCAGACTATAAAATGATTCGAGATAAATTTCCAGGTATGGGCGAAGGTGGACGGGAATAGGTTCTGTGGTGATATAGACAGAAATATATACGAATGCAGAAGGAATATCTAAAGTCAATAGTGAGTTAATTATGGTAATAAAATGAAATATATGATTTATAGCATAATAAATATAATGTTTTTTGCAATTATCTAAAAAGATACGATCAAATTGAATAAAGTATGGAATGTCTGCCGAATTGTCACTATCAAGATAACCTTGAACGATATTTTTGCTGTATACAAAACGATGAGAACAATCGAATAACAGTAATTATATTAAACAATTGAATAATTTACAAAAATTATGACTCACAATTTTCCTTCTGATTTATTTCGACCGGTAATAACGTTTATAAATGTTATACTTTCAACACCTGGAATTGGAAAATTTTCTAATAGAAAATAATAAAAAATGTATAATTTGTCAATTTCATAGTTTTTTTATACAAATAATAATTTTTACCAATAATTTGAGGCGGAATGGGCACATCATTTGATTCTTTTGCTTTTTCTAATTGTTTTTCTAATTCCTTTAATTTTTCGGGACCTAACGTTTCACGTTGTTTTTCAACGCGCTTAAGCTCATCGTCTATAAGTTTCTTTGCGAATTCTGCAGACGGACATCCCAATAACGCGATGTGCGGACTGTCAATATGATACCTATCATTATATTAAGATACATAGATGTATGATATAAATTAGCTACTATATATTAGTTATTATATTATTGTGATTTGCAAAATTCTGTAAGTTTTGCAAATCATCAAAGAAAAAAAAGAAATCAAAATTCACCTAAAGATCGAGTGATTTTTTTTTTTTGATGACCAAAATATTGCGAACTGCAATAATTAAAGACTAACATAATAACTTTATCTTATACTAACTTTTTCAAATATTCGATCCACTGCTTCTCAGAAAAATTTGCAATTTGTTCATAATAACTCAGATCTTTAACAGCCCTTTCAAGGTCGTCACCAGTTTCTTTGCCATACACATGGTCTAAATTTTAGAGAAATTAGTTAATGTATTAATTACATTGTGCATGGAGATATTGTTTTCTCATAGTACAAATTAAATAAAGAATGCTGACGCGTAAAATGAAAGATAACAACATACCTACAATACAAAGTCCAGAAAATACAGTATGCGGATTTACTTCAATTTCATCTAAAGTCTGTTATATTATAAAATTAAATGAATACTGTATAACTAAGATTGCATTTTAAAGTTCATATAAGTATTTTAATATATACACGAACCTTTAGTCTATCACGGTGAATTACATTTTTCATACGTTCCATATCAATTCCTTCATTAACAATTCTTTTAAATACATCAAATAAACCAGTAACAAGATCTTCCAATTCTTCTGTTGGAACATTTTCAAAGGTTGCCAAGATCGCTGTCCGAGTTTGTTCATGGATAGAGAAATCAATGTCTAATTATCAAAATGCAGTTATCAAAAATTTATGAATATATAAATATTATTAAACAAGAGAAATATGGTATTTAATACTACCTGTGCATAAAGGCTCTTCAATTTCAACAAATTCTTTTTGTAGTACGGAAATTGGAGAATCTGACAGGTAACTAAATAGGAAATAAATAATTAATAGTTATGAAATTTAATAATTATATTAATTCATTCACAGTTTAATCTTGCATTATTTGGCACAAAAAATAAGTATTTATAATCGAAATATTAAATACTTGCTCATATAAAATTTCCAATGCTCTAATATCCAAAAATTCCTAAATTCATAAAGTTAATATTGGTTTGTAAAAGACGCAAATGTCATGAACGATAATTCATCATTCAAAATATTCACATTAATCGTGGGACCAAGCCAAGCAATTAAAACTTGACCCATACTCTCATCTTCATCCGGAAATTCAATAGTTTCCTGTATAGATTTTTCAAGTAGAGGAATTGGTGCAGAATCAACAAACGGCCTAATAGTTGATGTATCAGAGTAAATTAAGACATCATAATTAATAATTCAATATTTCAGATGATGCTGAAATTGGCTAATGTTAAATTTGAGGTTTCTGCTTGAAAATATAAATCCTATTAAAATCCATCTAAACTTTTTTATTAAAAACTTCAACTCTAAATCCTATCCTCAAAAATTTTAGATCTCATATTAAAATAGGTCTAAATTTCAGCATCAGCCAATTCTAACATCAACAGTGATATTAATTTAAAATGAAATAATTCAATACCGTTTATGAGGAGGTAACTTTCCCTTAGATGCAATTCTGTCATCCAATGGATCAAGTACTTTAAATAATTCGAAATGCGAAATTTTACCAGTGATAATTAGACATAGGTTATCAGGTCTATAATAATCATGATGATACTAATAATTATAGAAGTTGTATATTAGTATTTATATCATAATAGTAATGAGAAACTGTAGAAACTTACTTGACGAACTATAGTTGGTTAAATTACAATATATTGATGAGATTTGCTCATTAGAAAATTATTAATATGTTAATTCAATCAATATAGAAAAATACTTAATAAATCATACTTTTCTCAACGCCAAGTTGCCTAAGGCATTCCATCAAGCCACCAGTTTCGCTACGATACCCACAACCTTCTGGATACATTAGTCGTTGATATCTACAAGTAATTATTAATGAGAAATAAATATATAAAACGTACTAGAAAATATGTGATGGCGATTAAGATTACCTTAATGTAACACGAGAGTCACAGTTATTTTGGCGGCCCTATTACGATAATTGTAATATTGTTAACATTTTAATATAAATGCAGACATAGTATGAAATCTGGATTGGAATTACCTGCATCTCACTGTATACCACCTTATAAAATAAAATAAAAATAAATAAATAATCAGGTTAAAGTTAAGACACATTTTTGATTTAGAGAGTATGGGGATAGGTAATATTTGGAACATCGATGTTAATGAAATGTTCCAGATCAGAATAAAACATATAACACGCCATGTAATGGCATTTGAGTAATTTATATATATATATATATATTATCTAGAGATCTCCATAACAACTTTCTAATGGAATATTTGGATGTCTTTCTAATGTTCGGAATTGAATAATTTAAAAATAAATAGATTTACCCCTAAAAAGAGAAAACGAAATTAAATCATAGGCACCTATAAGATATAGGAAAATATAGGAATGCATCTGAAGTAATACAGACCAGCGTCTTCACCTTTCCCATTTATGTGATGAACCTAAATATGCACAAAATTCACTTATAAATTATTGTGAATATTCAAAATTATAAATTTTATCACTTATAAAAAAAATAATCATAATAATAAACCTCGGTATAATGACCACTTTCTGTCAAAGTAGGATATAGAATATGATCCACATAAATAGGTAATAATCTCAAGAATCCTTCACTACCGGCTGTCGTAATAGTGTAACATGTATGATCCGTCTCTGTCCAACTAAAATCATTAGAAAAAATATAATATGTCATACAAGCATAATAGTGATTACAAAAAAAATCAATTAAATAACTTACGCATTGGTTCCTTGAGCAAATGCGCGATTTGCTAAAGTGTCTAATACACCCTAAATAATTTATGCACATAAATTAATATACGTAAAAGTTGTAAAATAACGAGAAACACGAAAAATTCTACCTTGTAAGGATACAATTCGCTACCAAGGAAGACTAAACTATATCCCAAAATTAAAAGACATTGAATCCAAAGTTCGAAATCTATGTTATTTTTTTTTTATACTGTGTAAAACTTACTGCTCCAAAGTGTGAGGACATCCGTCATCATCCGTAGCTTGAATTTGTAGATACAATTAAGACCATCTTACTGATAATAAATCAAAATGTATCCGTAATAAATGAATTACACGAACCTTCAGTCGGGATTGCAAAAAATCCACTAACCAAAGGAGCTAAATTATCGATTTTATGAAATTATAAACTGAAATTTTGCATTAATAAAAGCAATACGATTAATAAATTTCAAACCTTCAACATCGACAAGAACAGCTGATAAACCAGTTCTATTAGATTTAAATTTCATAACACTAATTCCAAAATTTGTTTCAATAATACGAATTATTCTAAAATTCGACATTTTGCAAATTGATCTCAGGGAAAGAACCAAATTTTAAACATTCGATCTTAAAAATATCTATTTATGGTGATCATCAAATTTGAATCCTTAATTCGGAGATGGAGATACGTACAAAGCAGGCCTGCCGAAAAATCAATTAAAATTGATTTTTTGCTATGCGTCATACAATTAAAATAAATTAAAATTATCATTGAAATCCAGTTAATGCAATTTTCTTTCACTGATGTAACCTGATCTCGAAAAATCAAAAATCATACCGTAGTGGTGAATATACGATATTAATTAATTGACCAATTGTGACTGCGCCACCAATCAATTAATTGAGCTTGATTAATTGCCTTACAAACAATTATTCGGTAGGCCTGGTACAAAGTGTTGTTTTGATACGCCTTTTTTTTTTTTGAACGTACGTACGTATGTACGTAGGAATGCTAACGCTAACGACTTTAGACTTCCAGTTAATGACTCGATTTTGCATAAAATAGATTAACCCTAAAACTCAATTTTTATTATTCGTCTATTTTATAAGAATTTGGAAAAGGAACAAATTATTTTTAAGAAATATTAATTAAGTATACAATATTGGGCAAAAATTGTCGAATAACGGTAATTTGGCAAATGAGCACGTGCCGCTTTGCGGCACGTG